GCGCCACTCAGCCAGAAGCTGGGCTCACAGCTGGCAAGTGCAGAGGTGGTAATGGGAGCCTCTCTGCCTCTGCTGCAGGTGGGAAGTAAGGAAGGAGGGGTCCCAGACAGCAAGATGGTGCAGGCCAGGCTGAGAAACCCCACCCCAATGCACGAATTTCATGTACTTGGCCTCTAGTCAATAATAACATTAAACATATATGGATTAAATGCTCTAATAAAAAGAAATAGGGTAGCTTAATGGATAAGAAAACATGAACCATATATTTGCTGTCTGCAAGAAACCTACTTCAGAACAAAGGATTCACACAGACTGATAGTGAAGGGATGGAAAAATTTTTTTCAGGCAAATGGAAATGAGAAAAAAGCTGTTGTAGCAATACTTATATCTGACAAAATAGACCTCAAAGTAAGGCCATCACAAGAGATAAGGAGGACCATTTCATAATACTAAAGGGAGCAATTCAACAAGAGGATATAACTCTAGTAAACATATATGCACCCAATAGAAGAGCACCCAAATACATAAAAAACTTCTGGAAGATATCAAGGGAGAAATAGACAGCAATACAATCATAGTAGGTGACTTTAATGCCCCACTGATACCATTGCATACATCCTCTAAACAAAAAATTAGCAAAGAGGAAGTGCTGGAAAATGGCAGCAGAATAGGCGGATGTGTCCTGAGCCTTGTCCTGGAGCAGATGGGATGAGCAACTAAACCAAATAACATTCACCCCGAATTGGCGAAATAGACACAGCTGGTGAGACAATCCGCAGCCAGGAAGTCCAGAGGATGCCTAGAGAATGGTAAAATCAGGGATCTGGTCTGGAAAGAATTGCAAGACCTTTGAGCCCAGAGGCTCAGAAGGAAGCCACATGGCACTGAGGCCATGTCCCTTGGGACAGGCATAGCGTCTGACTGTGGAAAGAAGGTCCACAGTGCTGCTGGCAGCAGGAGATTCTAGATCTGGGTCCACAGTCATGAGAGACTGAGCCCAGAGGGGCAACCTGGATGGCTTCCCAAGCTGCGCCATACCGGGGGAAAGATGCTCACAGTGGAGCAACTCTTTCCTCTCTTTTTGGTCTTTGCTTTTATTCACTAAACATAGTTCATAGGACCTTTCAAATACAAACACCTTTGACTGGGGTGCAGCTGCAGGTGCGGACTTGTGAAATCTGGGGAGAGGCTGGTGAGAGGAGAGGGTCAGTGAGGTGGCCATGAGTCTGGTGCTGTGTCATACCTGACATGCCGGACCTAGGGTAGCCATTTTCTCCTGAAGAGATAGCCCCTCCCTGCAGTCTCCAGGCAACCAATACACCCACACCCAGACTACACCCTGAGTGGTACAAAGGATACCAAAAAAAATCTGAATAGTCCCTGAGAGCCAACAGGGACTGGCCTAAAGAGAAGCCTTTAGTCCCAGAAACAGGAAACAGCAGCAGACAGTACAGAAGAGTGGGACCTTACAGCAGTCCTCATGGGGAATTAAAACTTGGTGGAAAGGAACGACACTTTACTTTTTCATTTTTATTTTATTAATATTTTGTTATCTTTTTTCTTTATTTTCCTTTGTTTCTTTATTTTCTATTTCTTTTCGCATTATTCTTTCATCATTCTAATTTATTTTATTTTCCTATTTTTTAAATTAATCTTTAAAATTTATTATTATATTTTTCTTCTCTTTCTCTTTCTTCTTATCCACTCATCCTCCTTCTACTTCCTCCATACTGAACTCTCCCCTCTGGCTGACTCAACGCTTAAGCCCAGGGCACTGCAACTATGTGAGCAGCAGTCTAGTGAGCAGTCTGCCCCCATCCGAGAAGCAGCAGCCCCATGAGAAGCCTGGCACAGTCTGAGGAGCGGCAGCCTCACATGGCCTGCCCCTGTCCAAGGAGCAGTAGCCCTGCACAGCCCACACCCATCCGAGGAGCAGCAGCCACATGAGCAGCCCACTCCCATCCGATGAGCAGCAGCCTTGCAAGTAGACTGCCCCTGCCCAAGGAGCCCCAGCCATGTGTGAAGCCCACCCCTGTCTGAGGAGTGGCAGCCATGCAGAGCCCGCCCCCGTCCAAGGAGCAGGAGCTGCGTAAGCAGCCTGACCATGTCTGAGGAACAACAGCCTCATAAGCATCCCACCCTCACCAGCCAGAGGAACAACCACTGCTGTAAGCATAGCCCACCAGAGGAGCCACCACCAACTGAGGAGCAGCTGCTGCCACAACCGCCCAAGGAGCAGCCCCTACATGACTCAACACCTAGATCCTGTGGTGAGAGGAAAAATAGGGAGACAAGGAGACCCCCAGAGGAAAGAAAAGGATGAATTGCCAGAAAAGCAGCTAAGTGAGACAGAGGCATGAATATGTCAGAAAAAGAATTCAGAATAAGTGTCATACAGTTCATAAACCAGATGGATGAAAAAAATCAACAACTTAAGTAAGAATTGAGAAGAAATAAAGAGTGGTATTGCTGCAATAAAAAACACAATGGAAAGTTTCAACAGTAGAATAGGAGAAGTGGAGGACCGAATTAGTGAATTAGAAGACAGAGAAGCAAAACACACCCAAAATGAGTTGCACTTAAAGAAAAAAAATTCAAAACATGAGGAGAGCCTAAGGGAGCTTTGGGACAACATGAAACGAAGCAACATATGAATAATAGGGGTGACAGAATGACAGGAAGAGGAACAAGGGTTAGAAAACCTATTTGAAGAAATAATATCAGAAAACTTCCCTGATGTGGGGAAGAAGAAAGTCAAAATGTTCATACTACCCAAAGCAATCTATACATTCAATGCAATCTCCATTAAAATACCAATGGCATATTTCACAGACCTAGAACAAACTCTCCAAAAATTCATCTGGATTAAAAGAAGAACTCAATTAGCTGCAGCAATATTGAGAAAGAAGAACAATGTTGGAGGGATCACAATACCATATATCAAGCTATATTACAAAGCCACTGTTCTCAAAACTGCCTGGTACTGGCACAAGAACAGACATATAGACCATTGCAACAGAACAGAGAACCTAGAGATCAACCCAAGTGATTATGCTCAATTAATATTTGAGAAAGGAAGCAAGAGCATACAATGGAGTCAAGACAGTCTCTTCAATAAATGATGTTGGGAAAATCCGACACATACTTGCAAAAAAAATGAAACCAACTTACAACATACACAAAAATAAATTCAAAATGGATAAGACTTAAACGTATTATGGGGAACCATAAAAATCTTAGAAGACTCTATAGTAATGGTTCTCAACCTCTGGCCCTTTAAATACAGTTCCTCATGTTGTGACCCAACCATAAAATTATTTTTGTTGCTATTTCATAACTGTAATGTTGCTACTGTTATGAATCATAATGTAAATATCTGATATTCAGGATGGCCTTAGACGACCCCTGTGAAAGGGTCGTTTGACCGCCAAAGGGGTTGCGACCCACAGGTTGAGAACCACTGCTCTATAGGCAGCAAAATAGCAGACATATGTCATAGCAATATCTTTACTGATACAGTTCCTAGGTCAATGGAAACTAAGGAGAAAATAAACAAATAGAACTACATTAAAATAATAAGTTTCTGCACAGCAAAGGAAGCCATCAACAAAACAAAAAGAAAGCCCACTGCATGGGAGAACATATTTGCCAATGTTATCACTGATAAGGTTTTAATCTTCAAAATTTACAAAGAACCCATACAACTTAACAAAAGGAATATAAACAATCCAATAAAAAAATGGTCAAAGGACCTAAATAGACACTTTTTGAAAGAGGACATACAGAACGCAAGAGACATGTAAAAACATGCTCAAAGTCACTAATCATATGGGAGAGGCAAATCAAAACAACAATGAGGTACCGTTTGACACCTGTCAGAATAGCTATCAATGGATCAACAAATGACAAGTGCTGGAGAGGATGCGGAGAAAAAGGAACCCTCATGCACTGCTGATGGGAATGCAGACTGGTGCAGCCACTGTGGAAAACAGTATGGCATTTCCTCAAAAAATTAAAAATGGAACTTACATTTGTCCCAGTAATCCCACTCCTAGGAATGTATCCCAAGAAAACAGAAACACCAATCAGAAAGGATATATGCACCCCTGTGTTCATAGCAGAACAATTTACAATAGCTAAAGTTTGGAAACAGCCTAAGTACCCATAAGCAGACGAGTGGATTAGAAAACTGTGGTACATCTACAAATGGAATTCTATGCTGCTGTAAAAAAAGAAGGAATTCTTACCATTTGCAATAGCATGGATGGAACCAGAGAACATTATGCTAAGCAAAATTAGCCAGTCAGAGAAAGATAAATATCACATGATCTCACTCATTTGTGGACTATAATGAACAACATAAACTTATGAACAAAAATAGAACCAGAGACACAGAACCATCGAACAGACTGTCCAACCTATGAGGGAAGGCATGGAGTGAGGAAGTAAGAGATCAAGCAAAGGACTTGTATGCATGCATATGAGTAAAACCAATGGACACAGACAGGAGGGGTATGAGGGCTTATGCTTGGGTGATGGGGTGGTGAGAGAGAGGTCAATTGGGGAAAAAAGGAGACTCATATAATACTTTAAACAATAAAGAATTAAAAAAGAGAAAATGAAATTTAAGACATATGATACTTTAAAATAATATCAATCAGAGAAAGGAGAAATATGTACATATCTGTATGGTTTCATGTACAAGGTCCATATTTGTAAGCCTAAAAAGATATCATATATTTTAAATACAACTAAGGATAATTTTACTTTAAAAAAAGAGTGCTAATGTGCAAAAGTCAAGATGAACACAGTTCCTCAGGAGTAAGAGCAACTTATATATTTTCCAACTGAGACCATTGCTAATGGTTAAGGAATCAAAGAGTAAATTCAGTGGGAGCCATCCTAGGGCATCACCTGCTATATACCCAGGTTGTCCAGTGTGTTGGCATGAGGTAATCTATCAGTTAGTGAAGTGCTTTGGGAGCAATGCATGACCTTACCACACTGTGTTTAGGGGTGTCTGACATGGCTCCGGTGGAGAGGGTGTATTGCTCAGACTCTGCTTTGGTTTTCCTGACCCCTTTCCACCATTTCCTGTATTGCTTCCGGACCTGCAGAGGCAAAGCATGCTCTGAGTTAGCTCACTGAGAGGAGTGAGAGTGGAAAGAGTCCTGGGTGGGAGGTAGACAGTGGTACCTGCTGGCTGAGGAGACAGTACACCAGGAAGATGAAGACGCCCTGCAGGCTGTTGATGATGGTGAAGAGATAGGCCATGGCGTGAGCAGCTGGACCCACCTGCAGGATTCCCAGACACCACGTGCAGCCCAAGATGAAGAGCTGAGATATCGCTTTAAATGTCAGCATCCTTGGTAGGAGGAGAAGAGAGGCCCATGGTGCACCCAGAGCAACAGAATCAAGGCCATTCTAATCTCCACCCAATGAATGCTCCTGTCTTCCACTGTGGGTGATGAGTTTTCAGACTGCATTGTGATCAGCTTTGACCTTTACCGTCAATGGTTCTCCACAATAGAAATGCTACTTGGATCCAGGATGGCATTTTGATTGATTTGAGTAGGTTGTGACACTTCATAATGTATGTTTCAAAAAAAAATTCTATAATGCTCCATGGTGATGCCTAATTTTATCTAACTAACATTACTAAGTGTGTTCTGTGCATCAGGCTGTGTGCTGAGGCCTGGACATTAAAGTCACAGAGGCAAGATTTCTATTTTCATAAAGGTCACAGGCTATTCCAATGAGAAATACAGCCGAATAATGACATGCAAAATGTAGAAAGGACACTGGAGAGGGGTGAGAAGGAGCCTAACTGAGAGTGGGTATGAAAGTGTAGACTGGGTTGTGGAAGGAGTCACAGATTTTTCTAAGTGCACACAGGTTCTTTGTACTTTTGTTGTAGGACTGTTGACAAAAGTTCAAAGAATGTTTATCAACCAATGTCAATTCCCCCTGTTGCTGAAGGAGTTACAAGATGGGATTAGAGCAGGGGTCCTCAAACTATGGCCCACGGGCCACATTTGGCCCGCCGAAAACATTTGTTTTTTTACTTCAAAATAAGATATGTGCAGTGTGCATAGGAATTTGTTCATAGTTTTTTTTTAAACTATAGTCCGGCCCTCCAACGGTCTGAGGGACAGTGAACTGGCCCCCTGTTTAAAAAGTTTGAGGATCCCTGGATTAGAGACAGAACATTGTGGCCGGATGTCAGCAGCCCACCACTGACTCCAAGCTGGCTGCCATTGGAGGACAGCTTCATCTCTTTACTCTGGGTTCCCTCAGAAGACCCCGAGAAGGGGCATTAGGGCTGCTGAGGCACATGGATTTGCTCTTGGAACCACACATGTCTGTGGGGTTGTCACGCTCTTCTCCATTTTACCTTGTATTCTTGAGGGTGGACACATCACTGTTGAGTGAAGAGAGTTTGCTTTTCAAAATGCAGAGGGTCATCAGAAAGAAAGCTAGATTGACCTTCAGGAAAACACACAAGGTTTAGTGAATAATATTTTAGTTTGTTATCTCTAGTCTAGCCTGTCCAACAGCAATTGCACACTTAAGTAGTTTTTATATTTAGTAACAGTGTTAGAGCTTGTAGTTTTAGAAGCAGTCTTAGAAAACCAAAGCAAACCCAAGACAACCCAGGGACATTCTTGCTCATGTCATCCTCTTGCCTCCTTATAATTCTAATTACACTCAGTTGAGCATTAAGGATGCTCTGATGTCATCACTCACAAAGAGGATGGCGCAGACTGGTCCAAGGAAGCCCCATATAAATCCCTTTTCTGGGTGGAGCCAGCAGCTAAGAAAGAGAAAGAATTAAAAATGCATTGGTCCTTAGAAATGTGGGAAAAATTATGCCAATTCATTCATTAATTCATTCATCAACAAACATTGAGTGTCTCTTCTGTGATAGGCTCTGTGATTGGCTTTGAAGATACTGTTGTGAAGAAAGTACGCATGGTCTTGAATCCCAAACATCTCACAGATAAAGAAATGGGAATGTACTCTTACCGAGCAGGTGTTCCATAAAGGTCAGGCCTGGACACTGCAGAGATGGCCACAATCACAGCTGGGACTCCGTAGCCCACAAGGAGCATGAACTTCTTCATGAGCTCACACTGGAGTAGTTGACCACCGTCAGGTTGCGTGCGGTGAGGAAGAGGTGCAGGCCCTCCAGCAGCATCCAGGTGAAGGAGGCCAGGTAGAGATAGTGTAAGGCACCTGCGATGATGGCGCACAGCACCTGGGGGAGGGGTGAGAGCCACCAGGTGGGATTGTCAGGGTGGAGCATTGCCCCAGGACCTCTCCTATACCTTGGCATTTGGGAGAACTCTGTTGAATATGAAGGAATTGTCAAAAGAAGGTGTGATTGCCCTGGCCGGTTTTGCTCAGTGGATAGAGCATCAGCCTGCAGACTGAAGGGTCCGAGGTTTGATTCCAGTCAAGGGCACATGCCAGGGTTGTAGGCTTAATCCCCAGTTGGGGGTGTGCAGGAGGCAGCCAATCAATGATTCTCATCATTGATGTTTCTATCTCTCTCTCCCTCTCCCTTCTTCTCTGAAATCAATAAAAATATATTAAAAAGAGAAAAAAAAGCAGAAGGTATGATTTCTAGTTTGGTCAATGTGAAATTGGCTACTTACCCCTCTAACCTTCCCCAAACCCAAAGTCATTTTATTAAGGTGTCCAATGCAAGTGTACTCCTCATTCCACGGTCAGGGCATGCTTCCTTTGGGACAGTGTCGGTACCTTAGGCTCAGTTCTGTCGATGGCCGTGAGGAAGAGCAGGTGGGCCAGGAAGAGGCAGAGTGAGAGCTGCAGGTGGAGTGAGGTGCTGGTGTTCTGGATGGCTTTGCACAGCAGGAAGGTGAGGGCCGCCAGGAGGAGGCACAGGAGAGAGAGGCTCAGCCCCACGTAGGTGATCACAGCCAGGGCGGGATCCTCCTCCTGGGACCCAGGAAAGAGGAGAGAGCAGTCACACTCACCTAATCTGGGTTAATGACCCTTCTACCATTTTCAGTTTGGGCAGGGTACAACAAACTTTGGAGTGGAGGAGCCAGGTACATTTGTGATGTTTATGGACACTGTTAGAATTCTAGGGGGTCCTGAACTGATTCATTCAGATCCTATAAACATTGAGGGATAAGAGAGTCCTCATTCAGGACCAAACCCTGGAAATCATAGGGTTGATTTTTCTTCACGACTATGCTTATAGGTTATCATTTGACAGTCAGAGAGATACACGGTTCCCTGTTGAACATCATCCTCCATCCCCATGATGTGATACTGTGTGACAGAGTCTGTATCCGGAGACTCGATGTCCAGGGATCATCTCCCCTGCTTGTACTTACTCACATCATCCCTGCAACACCTGTTCCTTACAGATTTAAATCCTTGGTTAAAGAAGGAAAAGTACTGATGATGGTGGTAGCTTGAAATTAATATTTCCTGCCTATTATTTATGATTTATTTACTTATTTATTTATTTATTTTTAAGATATATTTTTATTGATTTCAGAGAGGAAGGGAGAGGGAGAGATAGAAACATCAATGATGACAGAAAATTATTGATTGGCTGTCTCCTGCAGTCCCCTGCTGAGTTTTCAGTCTGCAACCAAGGCATGTGCCCTTGACCAGAATCAAACCCGGGACCCTTAAGTCCACACGCTGGTGCTCTATCCACTCAGCTAAACTAGCTAGGTTTCCTGCCTATTTTTTAAAGATTAAAATTTTCCTTGCTTCATTTTTCAAATCATCTTAAATCCATAACGATACATTTTAAAAATTAATTTTAATGTAAATAGGTGAGAAAAGAAAGAGAGAGAGACAGAGAGAAAAAAGAAATATGAAAATGATAAAGAATATGTAGGTTAAATGTTCAAAGTTAGTACATCTGACAAAGAGCAATACGGTATTATTTACACTATTTTTATTATTGCAATAAATCTGCAAGATTGACATTACTTTCTAAGTAAATGTTTGCAAATAAATAGCAAGCTCTCCAGGTGATTTTGACACATACTAGGTTTTGAGCATCTTTGGTGTAAGGAAATAAACTAACTCCTCTACCACATAAAGAGCTCCCAGATCCATAAGAAATGTTTCAACAGGTCAATAGAAAAATGGACCAAAAAGTGAACAACTTGTTTCCAGAAACAGAAATACAAATCGCTCTTAAATAGAGATATTCCATTCCATTTATAATGAAAGACATGCAAATTTCATAATATAGCAATATAATTATATTTAACTCTCAGATGAATAAAGATCCAAAACTTTGATAATGACCTTGTGAGAGTGGAGAGTGTGAGGAATCATACAGCTTCAGGTAATGCTGGTAGGAGTGTCCACAGGTATCACCTCTATATGCTAAAATATGGAAAAATTGGCCAATATAGGTCAGGGATAAAAGTAAACCCAGCTAAAGGTAATATTTTATTTTATGCTTTCAACTAAACAATTTAACTCTTTCTGCCTTTCTGTATATGCTTCTTGCCTTAAAACACAGTATTAAGGATGAAGAGATCCTGTTATGCAATACCCATATCTTTTTTTCTTTTTCTTTTTTAAGAGATGAGCAGTGCAATTTAGAGACATATCATCATTCTATATTTGGAATAGGGAAGTATTTTCAATGTTCTTGACTATCATAAGTGTTGAGAAAAATGCTTGGTTTCCCCATTTAAAAATACTGATAAATATCACCTCTTTCTTCATGTAATAAAAGTCAGGTTAAAACACTTAAATATACTTTAGATCTTCTGTTTTGTAAGCATCACCTGAGGAAATACCACAAGAATGGCATTGACATATTTAACAGATTTGGAGGTAAGTCTACCTGTGAATCGTGGAGCTGTGTCTCTAGGTGTCAGTGTGCATGCATGCAAGTGTGAGTCACTCTTTGCTCTGCAGAGGCCAAATAATTGGGGTGTTGCCAAGTAGTTAGCACATTCTTATTAGAGTTCTTAAGTCATCAGGGGAAGTAAACTTTTCACTGTACCATGAAAAAAATTTTGACATAGTATGCATACTAACTAGATACTCAAACAGGAAAACAATGCAGTGTGTCTAAATAATTACAACTTTATTTGTAGTAGGAAATGATCATGAAACAAAATTCCCACTATGAGAAGATTTGATATGTAATTTATAGCACATGCATACAATGAAATGCACTTGAAATAAAAATAATGGAGTGTCTTTTTTTAGATTGGAATAGAATAATCTTTTAAAGATAATAAATAAAAACACAAAATGCACAGTCCTGAAAAATGACACTATGTGAGTAAAAAAAAGAGGGACAAAGAATAAATGCAAATCACATCAGAGTAATGGTGGCATGAGAGAGGCCGTTGTCCTCTGCTACTGAAATTTCAAGAAGTTAACCAACTATAATTCAACATACAAATCCCTGCTCAACACAGATGCATGCCTAAGAGACCCGCACTTTGAAACATCTAAAAGTGGGCAACCAGGAATAAATGGGGAGATGAGAAGAGAGGACCTGCAGATGCAGCCCCTGGCTGGCTGGGAGAGGGGAATATCTGGTGGTAGTAGGTGCTTTCTTTGGCCAGGAGGAACAGAGAGCTGCAGGGGCTTTGGGAGTCCTGGGGTGCAGCCCAGCAGGGCAAGCTGTGAGGGAGTGTCTGAGTCAGCAGATGCCTGACAGAGCACGTGGTTCTGCCATGCGGCTCCCCAGTGTCCAGCTGGTGGCGGTGTTTCACACAAAGAAACAAAACCACAGAGCCCTGCCTCTACTTGGATTCCCAAAACTCACCTCCCTTTGCCTTTGAGTTGGGTTCAGGAGCATACTATCTGTAAACCAAGAGCTATTGTAGGAAAACTGCTGTTTCCCTCTGTAACATCCCTAGGAGGGGTGCTTGGGATGGAACCCCATAGAGGTCAGGGGTTACCATTATGGTAAGGGCAAAAAAAACACACCCATTCCCAAGCAGCATAGCTGTACTGTCTTACAGAAGCAGCAGTGGTTCAAGACTGGGAGATCACAGAGGTAAAACAATCTTGCAATTCAGCACTACCTACTGGAAAATATTAGAAAGACCTCTTCAGAGATAAATGCTTAAGCAAAGGAAGACAGCAAATACCATGAACAAGGAAAGTAATGAGGATGACCAGAAAGAAAAAGTAAAATACCCATAAAGCAAGCTGGAACACATGGAAATATCCTATATAATAAAAGCCCAGTGACCAAAACGGTAGAATGACCAAAACAACCAGAGACCAGAACAACTGCAGCCTGCAAACTGCCAGCAGCCCCTTGCCCTGGCCAGCTCTTCTCCCCAGCAGGGATCCCTACCCCAATTGGGGGCATGGCCAGCCTGCAAACCGTCATCAGCCCCCCACCCCAGGCAGCCCCACCCCTCAGCATGGACCCCCCCACCCAGATTGTGGGTGTGGCCAGCCGGAAAATTGCCTGCAGCCCCTTTCCCTGCCTGGCCTCACCCCCCAGTGGGACCCCCACCCTGATTGGGAGTGTGGCCAGCCTGCAAATTTCCAGTGGCCCTCGCCCTGGCTGGAAAGCTCTGATCCCCCGATGGCAAATGGTGAACCGGGGTTGGGTGGTGGCAGGGGGCGGGCCAGCTGCTGGCAGCTGTGGAAGATGACCCTGATCATAGGCCAGGCCTAGGGACCGTACCCCCGCATGAATTTTGTGCGCTGGGCCTCTAGTGTGATATAAATGACAGAGATTTCAAGATTGCAGTTCTGAATGTACTCAATGAGATGTGAGAAAATATAGACAGGCAACTCAATGCACTCAGAAAACAAATCAATGAAAAAAATGAGTACTTTACAAAACAGACCAAAACTTTAAGAAAGAACCAATCAGAAATCTTAGAAATGAAGCATGCAATTAAGGAGATTAAGAGTAAACTATTGAGTGTAGAAAACAGGCAACCAGATGAAGGAAAGAATTCATGATATTGAAGATAGGAATCTAGAAGTGGTGCAGGGGGAGAAGAGAGAGACTTGAGAATAAATAAAAACTAAAATAAAAGAGCTCTATAAGAACTATCTGACTTCATCAGAAAAAGCAATATTAGAATTATAGGTATTCTGAAGGAGGAGGAAAGGGAGCATGAAATGGAGAGTCTATTCAAACAAGTAATGGATAAGAACTTTCTAAACCTATAGAATGAACTAGATCCTTGAATCAAAAAAGCAAACAAAAGTCCTAGTTACCTCAATCCAAAGAGGCACTTGGTATTGAAGTGTCAAGAATTAGTATCAAAGAAAAAATTCTCAAAGCAGCCAGTGACCTACAAAGGAAAACACATCAGAATTTCATCTGACTTCTCAACAGAAACTCTACAAGCTAGAAGAGAGTGGAACCAAATACTCAAACATCTGAAAGAGAGAAATTACCAGCCACAAATAATATATCCAGCAAAAATATCTTTTCAATATGAAGGAGAAATAAGATGTTCTCAGACATACAGAAGATAAGGGTTTTTTTTTTTTTCCACCAGAAAACCTCCATTGCAGGAAATACTCAAGAAGGTTATTCTACCTGAAACAAAAATCAAAGGTCACAAATCTATGACTGAGACCACCAAAAACTTACAGCTTAAACAGGGATCATTTGTGAAAACAAAACCATAAAGGCGAAAGGGTGAAGGACTGAACTGGCAAAGGAGAATGAAGATCAGATGCACTCAAAAGAAAAAAGGCTACTGTATATAAGAAAATTTATTTTTTATAAACCTAATGGTAACCACACACAAAAATCCCCAAACCAGGACACATAGCTTAAAAAAAAGAGGAAACAGAGAGAAGTATGGAATATCACCAAACAAAAACAACAGACAGAAAGAGAAAGGAAAAGCACCAATGGAGGCACAGAGCCACCAGAAAATAAAAGACAAAATGGCTATAGGAAATCCTTATACATAAATAATTACCCTAAATGTAAATGGTCTGAATTCACCTATAAAGAGGCACAGAGAGGCAGAGTGGATCAAAAAACAAAAGTCAACCAAATGCTGCAAGAGACACATCTAACCTGCAAAGACAAAGGTAGATTCAAAGAAAATGGGTGGGAAATGATTCTCCAAGCAAATAACATCCAAAGAAAAGCAGGTGTAGCCATACTTATATCTGAAAAAATAGATTTTAAAATAACAAAGATAACAAGATACAAAGATAGCCACTTTAAAATGATAACATCAAGAAAACATAACACTTCTTAATATATATGCACCCAATCAAAGAGCACCGAAATAATCACAGAATAATAACAACTAATCACAGAATTAAAGGGAGAAACAGATCAACACAATCATAGTTGAGGACTTTAATACTCCATTGACAGCTCTAGACAGATCAACCAAACACAAAATCAATAAAGAAATATCAGTCTTAAATGAAACACTAGATCAAATCAACATAGTTGACATTTACAGAACCTTTCATCCCAGGACATCAGATTATACATTTTTCTACAGTGCACATGGAACATTCTCAAGGACAGATCATATGTTGGGTCACAAAACTAGCATTAACAAATTCAAGAAGATTGAATTATACAAAGCATATTCTCTGACCACAATGCCTTAAAATTAGAAGGCAACTGCAAAGCCAGGCCAGAGTGCCTCTGTGATTGAGCATCTACCTATGAACCAGGAGGTCAGGGTTGGATTCCCAGTCAGGACACATGCCTGGGTTGCAGCCTTGATTACCAGTGGGGGGCACACAGGAGACAGCCGATCCATGATTCTCTCCCTCTCTTATCATTGAATTTTTTATATCTCTCTCCCTTTTCCTTCCTCTCTGAAGTCAATATATATATATCTCAACTGTAAAAAGGAAGTAAGGAAACCCACAAATATGTGGAGATTAAACAACATACTGGAATTGAATCTGCAACCCTTCAGTGCATGGGCTGATGCTCTAACCACTGAGAACACTGGCCAGGGCTGGAGAATATCTCGATGTGAGGGAGCTTCTGCTGCTAGTCTCCAGATAAGAGTATAGACACATTGTGAGAGGGCCTGAGAGAGGGCCACATAAGAAGGAATGCAGGGAGGCCCTAGTAGCTGAATGTGATCCCTGCTGCCAGCTAACAAGAGTGTAAAACCTCAGTTCTACAACCATAGAGAACTGAATTCTGCCAACAACCAGGGAGCTCAGAGGAGGACAGAAATCCTCATATGAGAGGCTTGTGTAAGACCCTGATCAGACAACCCAGGTGCACCATGTTTATTTGTTGACCCACATAAATTTCAGAAAAATAAATTATGTTTTTAAGGTGCAACATGCATGGGAATTTATTACATAGTAGTAGATACTAAACAAAGTCCTTTCTCAAGGCTCTCACCTGCACATCATAGTGGGCCATGAGGACGGCAAAGCTGCTGAGGTGGGTGCATTGGCAGGTGGTGCTGATGTCTCTGGTGCCCACCCTCCAGCAGCCTTTGGTGGACCAATGACCACTTCCATTCTGGCCAGGCTCCCAGAAGACACAGAACAACTTCTGCTTTGGCCTCGGGGTCACCGACTGTAGGAACAGAGCAAGGTGTGAGCTGGTGATTAGGTGCTCAAAAATTCTGACCAAATCCTGCTTGTGATGGGCTTTCCTGGGGAGATGATGCACCCATGGGAGAGCCCCTGAACCCCAAGACTGTGTCCAGGACTCAGGCCTCTTCCACACCAACAGCCCCGTTTCACCAGCACTCACATGCTTGAAGACAAAGGTGACTGGGGAGCTGAGGTTCTGAGTGTCTTTGTTGCTCACAAAGGCGGATATGACATCTGAGAGCAGGACAGGGGAGACTTCCTGCTGCAGGCCCTTGTGTGTCTCATTCAGAACTGACTGCTTCTCAGTTTCCAGGAACAGGGGGGCCTCAAGCAGCAACTTGCCCATCCCTGGAGAGGAGACAAGGCCCACCACAGCAGGGCCTACAGGACAAGGACAAGGTTGAAATCTTAGGGTGTCCCAAAGGCCCCCTTCCTTCTGGGATGCATTCTCTCCTTTGACCCACCACAGCCCATACTTCCCTTTAATATTTAATTCTCTGTTTGTTACATCCTTGGGTGTCTTGTTCCACTCTAAAGCCTCATTGACCTTCTCTCTGTATCAGTCATTACCTGAGTCACCTGAGTCCTGCACCACATCCCAGTTCACCAGCATCTTTGCCTGATTAACACTCAGGGTGACATTCTTGTCTCCTTGCTTCTTCACCTCCAGGGACAGTTCTATGAGTTGTGGGAGTTATATAAGGGAGTGAGATTAGTAACTGTGCCAGCACTTGTAGCTATAATTCCATTTTAATGTATAGATATTTTTTATATATATTACTAGAAGCCCGGTGCACAAAAATTTGTGCACTGGCAGGGCGGGGGTCCCTCAGCCCAACCTGTGCCCTGTCACAGTCTGGGACCCCTGGGGAAATCACCACCTGCTGGGTTAGGCCCGCTCCCCTGGTGGCAGATTGCATGCCCAATACCCTGGTGTCTGCCCC